CATAAAAATACCCTAAGAGTGACATAAAAGTCACTTATCACCGGTCTTTGACCTCGCTCCACCAAAGTCCAAGGGTCTTAACTAGGGTTGTAATGTCATGGCTAAGGGTTAAGGTTGGGAATCAATTTAAAAATTTTGGTGGCAAATCCTAAGTGAAGCAAAAGAGTGGTCATCCCTCATGAACAACTTAAGAATTGAACCTTAACTCAAACTGCAATCTTCAATACAAACATCACAACAATACTTCATCCCTTTCCATCATTTATTCATTTTTCATCTTTTTTTTTGTTATTATTATTATTATTTTTTAAACTTGGTCTTCTTGAATTGCATCTTTCTTCTCAATCCTTTGCATAATTTTTTTTCATGTTCAACTTTCAAAATTATACTTGAACCAATTTACACATTTTTCTTGCTTCACGAGCCAATGCTTCACTAACTACAAGGGTCGGTAAGACATAGGTCGATAGGTTTGTAATATGGTTAAGTCAAGAAAGGGAAATAAGGCTCAAATTGGTTAGCAAGTAAGTTGATGCAAAAATGAAAATCAAATTTGTAACAAAACACAAGGAAAACAAAGAAAAATGAAAAACGCCCTTTTCGACCTCTAGAGTTGCTTGGTCACGATCTCGGGGGCTAGAGGCCAACACAAGGATTAAGATACGCGTAGTCAAGGATCCTAAATGCCACTTAACAAGAATTATGAAGGCTTGAACAATATTAGACCTCACAAGGGGTGGGAAGTGAGCAAATATCAACTAAAGGTAATCCTATCCACTATAGAGAGCAACACCATCTTACCATTTTCCCGTGAGCTAAGGGTTCAAACGTCCTCAAAAGTTCTTAGCCGTGCTACCTTAGCTTAAAATGTGTCTAGCTCAACCCCAAGCATTCTAAAACCGTAAAAATCCTCATCAACTAAGAAGATAAGAATTCAAAGATACATCATCAAGAAAGGCAAACCAATCCGAAATAATGAGCAAATTACAAATCAAAAATCATTTCAACTTGTCATAGTTATGCTTGTAACACAAAAATGGGAAAACAATAAAAAAAACAAAGAGTAAGAAATAAAAAAGGTTCACACACGAGGCATATAACCCAATTAAATCCCAATCGTCATGCAAGTGATCGTTCAATAACAACATCAACGATCCCAGGTTCCATAGAACCAAAAGCAAACATTATCGAACCATTCAACTTCTTCCTAAGCTAAACCTAAACTAAACACCCAAAAAAATGAAAATAAAAGTGAGGAAAGGTCTCACCAAACGCCGCTTGAAATGAAGACAAGATAAATTATACAATCTCCCCAAGGGAGTTCGAGTCGCCCCTTAACTTCCTTCATCTCCATTTACAAGCTTGAAAAGAGAGCCAAAACAAATGAAACTACTAAGATAAAACAAAAAAAAAAGTAAAAAGTTAAATATCAAAGAAGGAAACTAAAACTTTAAACAAAAAGAAGAAATAGAAAAAAAAAAACTATCTACAAAGTTTGGATTAAGGGAAATTTGGATTATCGGGAGTTTGGATTTTCCTTCTGAGGAGCGCCATCACCTACACAAACACTTGAAAATTCATTAGCAAAAGCTCATAAAAATCACGCTGAAACATCATCATCACAATCAAGAAGATCAATCAACATCAATCATGTTAGAACCAACCGAACCATGCCAACTCTACCACCTACAATGGAGTCACCCCCACACTAGCATGATGCTAAACCTTCCCCCGCACTACCAAAAAAATATCCCTTTGCTTCTTACACCCCCACACTAAAACAATGCACCGTCCGCGGTGCGTCAAATTAAAACACTAGGAGGGGGCAAAGGGGAGAAATAAAAAACAAGGGAGGCTAGTGGCCACTAGGGCCGGATTCGTCATCATCTCCATCATCCTCGGGGTCATAAGAGAACCCGTCCGGAGGAATGCCATGTGGGTCCCAACCACCAGTGAAACCCGGGGGACAACCATAGTGACCTCGATAGAGGTCTTGTTGCCATTGAGGCAACGGGTCGAATCGGGCGGGAAGTTGAAGAGGGGAAGGGTGAGAAGGGTCGACATAAGGATAGTTGGGGTCACCCCTAAAATCACTCCCTTCCGGGGCACGATAATCGTACCCGATTTCCGTCGGGTAGTCTACCCGAGGAACGCCTTAGGAGGAGGGCCCTTGCTAATAGGGCCAAGTAGGTTGCGATCTCTGCCATTAAGGGACCGGACCTTGCTGAGGCGGCCAATATGGGTAATTGACCGGGGGGGTGATCTCACCTCTATCCACGGCCGCACCATAGAGAGGTTGGGTTTGCATGAACATACCCTGCTGGTTCTCCATCAAGCTTTGCATGCCAAGTTGCATGCTCATCATTTGCTGCTCAAGGCTACTCATTCCTTGATGTTGCTGTTGTTGTTGATGATGATGTTGTTGTTGTTGCTGTTGTTCGAATACCAAATTCCTTGCGCCACCAAAAGCGGTGGGTAACACACCATTGTCTCGTGGAGTTTTCCATACATTCCTAGCATTCCGCTCCAAAGATGTATGGCTGGGGTAAGGCAAGATGCAATGGTGCTCGCGCTTAACATATTAAGCATGAAAATTGCTGGCATCGACAGTTCCTTGGATGAATCCCGACCTTCTCATTTGTTAGATATCAATGAATAAATCCTTATCGGACCCAACTTGAGTGCACGCGGGAAAGAAGCGTTCATAGTTAAGCTTCTTAGAAATCCTAGTGATTATCACACCAATGGTGATTTCACCCGTCTTGTTGCCCGACTTGGTTGCCTCGCAGCACAGGACGAACCAATACTCCTTGTTGAGCCGCCCTCTCAACTCCTCTCTAGTAGCAAACTATAAAGTAAAGATCTCTTCATGTGAGAGCTTACTCAACTCTTTCTTACTAAACACCGCATACCCCAAGATGCGGTGAAGGATACGGAGAATAGGGTGGATGATTATGTTTTCCACCGAATACCTTGTATTGAACTCGTCAAAATCGGTTTTCGTTTGCTACCAACGAAATGCATCATACTCGGGGAATGGGATCAAGGATAGGGAAAGGAGATCCGCCTCGGGGTTGAAGTCCAACAATGCATTGAGATCACTATGAGTCATGGTATGTTGGTTGTTGAATAATTGTAAGGAAATTTGGAAGTCATTGTTCCCATATGGTTCTTTTTCAAATGAGGCTAGGGATTCAAAAGTGGGTTCTTTGTATGTTTGATGTTGGTGCTTAATGAACTCACTCATCCCTAGGTTTTCAAGTAGTGACCTTAAGTCATCATCTATCCCCAAAGCTCTCATAGACCGTTGATCATAGTGCCTTGAGGGATTAAGCTTTCTGCCTTGAAGGTCATTGTAGAAGGTAGAATGGAGCTTGTTCAAGAATTTCAATCGAGGGGGAACATTAGGTGCTTGAGTTTAAGCTTGAGTACTAGGCTCCTCGACCCTCAACCGGGGCTCCTTTCTACTCTTTCTTTTGTTCATTGTGGCCTCAAGCAATACAAACAACCAAACTAAAAGGGAACTCACTTCGAACTCAACCAAATTTGAACCGCACTAATAAAAAACCGAGCTTTAACAATCTGCAAAAAGGTTAGTACCAACAACTTACCACACAAATATAGCTCCAAGAACAACTAGGATAAAAAACAATGCACACAATCATAACACATTATGATAATAAGCAATTTTCATGTAAATAGTTGCATTATCATCAATACTAACAATAACACAAAATTACTCAACTAAATTCCATGAAAATAGCTTCAAAATCAATAATGTTCCACAAGCACTAAATATCACACTAAAAACCAACAAATCCTTAGCAAAGAAAACCAAAATCACATAGAACTCACTTAAGCTAAACCATGCTTAATAACTCAAAATTTTGCATAAACAATTGAAAATAAGCAATAGAGTAGCAAAATTTGGAGTTATACCAATAAGGAGAAGCTTGAACACCACCAAGAACCCCCAAGAATACCACCTTCAACCAAGCTTGCACAACCATAAAAATGGAGGAAATTTGGGTACTTTGGAGAGAGAACGTGGGTAAATTTGTGAGTAAAGTGAAAAAGTTTGATGGATTTGAAGGAAAATCAAAAGAATTTGACAGTTATGGGTAAAATTGAAGGGTAAGGGTTTGAGTTTGTGAGGAGAGAGAAGAGAGCATGAAAGAGGGTTCACGAAAATGTGAGGGTGAAATAGGGAAGAGGAACTTAAACCCCAATTTACCCAGTTCTGCGCGCCCCCACAGATACATGCGCGCCCGCACAAGGGTCGCACACTAAATCCTAAATTTTAAACAAAAGTGTGCAGGTTCTGACAGGGTTGCGCGCCCGCATACCTTTCCTTGCGCGCCCGCACGCTGGTCGCACACTGGGTCGCGCAAACTCTTTGTCTCCAATCTTAAATATTGAACAAAAGTGTGCGGGTTCTGACAGGGCTGCGCGCCAGCACACCTTTCCCTGCGCGCCCGCACACTGGTCGCGCACTGGGTCGCGCAAAGCAGCCTTGAATTTCTTTCTTCTCTCATCTTCGACATAGAAAAGCCTTTACCCCCTCATCATCGAAACACTTATCAACCAAAAGGGTAAAAATAAAATTCAAATGCAAAAAAAAAGAATAGTGTAATATATATATATATATATATATATATATATATATATATATATATATATATATATATATATATATATATATATATATATATATATATATATATATATATATATATATATAAAAGAGTTAGAAACTCGGGTTGCCTCGCTTCTTTATGAGGTCACTAGCTTGACCATGAGGAAAAATTCTTCAAGGGGGAGGCATTGGATCCAAAGGATCAAACATGATACATTCGATGACACCAACTTCTTCCTTGAAAAATTAATGCTTTAAACGATGACCATTGACCATAAACTTGTTACCATCCGCATCTAACTCAAAAGAACCATTAGGAGTAGTCTTAGATATCACAAAAGGACCTGACCACTTGGACTTGAATTTACCCGGAATTAAACGAAGCCTTGAGTTGAAAAGAAAAACCTTGTCTCAACCTTAAAGCTCTTGTTTTGAATATGTTGGTCATGCCACTTTTTGGTCGTCTCCTTATACAATCTGGACTCTCATAAGCATCATCTCTAAGCTCTTCAAGTTCATTGAGCTTAAGAAATCTCTTCTCACCGGCCAACGATAAATCCATATTGAGTTCTTTGATGGCCCACCAAGCCTTGTATTCTAACTCAACCGGCAAGTGACAAGCCTTTCCATAGACCAACCTATAGGGGGTTATGTCGATTAAAGTCTTGTACGCCGTCCTAAGAGCCCATAGTGTGTCATCAAGCTTGAGAGACCTATCTTTCCTTGATTTGTTCACCATCCTTTCAAATAGATTCTTCATTTCACGATTCAAGACCTCCACTTGTCCTTGAGTTTGAGGGTGGTAAGGTAATCCAACCTTGTGATGAACGCCATACCTCTTGAGAAGAGCTTCAAATTGCTTTTTGGCGAAATGGGAGCCTCCATCACTAATTAGCATTCTTGGAACCCCAAACGTAGGAAAAATGATCTTCTTAAGAAGCTTAAGAACAACCTTGTGATCATTGGTAGGTGAGGGTATGGCTTCAATCCATTTTGTCACATAATCAGCCGCTACCAATATATATAGATTTACACGAGAAGAAACGAAAGGCCCCATAAAGTCCACCCCCCAAACGTCAAAGGGCTCAACTTCCAAGATATTTTGTTGAGGCATTTCATCACACTTGGTTATGCCACCACTCCTTTGGCACCTATCACATTGTGAAACGAACTTGTGGGCATCCTTATGCATCGTTGGCCACCACAATAGAGATTGAAATTTTTTTGCCACCGTCTTATTAACACCCCCATGTCCTCCGCATGATAGTGAGTGGCAATGCTCAAGAACTCCTTCGATTTCATGATCCAGAACACATTTTCGAAAAGGGCCATCTCCACATTACTTGAACAAGTATGGGTCGTTCCAAAAGTACCTCCTCACTTCCTTAAAAAACCTCTTCTTTTGTTGAGAAGATAACTCCGGGGAAATGACTCCACAAGCAAGATAATTGGCAATGTCCGCATACCAAGGGTTACATGTTGAAGCCATAGCCATGAGGGTTTCAAATCATATCTCATCATTCTTCGGTACATCACTTTTGTTCTCAAAATGTAGCCTAGACAAATGATCCGCAACGTAGTTCTCCGCTCCCTTTTTGTCCCTCATTTCCATGTGAAAATCTTGAAGAGAGAGAACCCAACGGATTAAGCGAGGCTTTGCTTCCTTATTAGTCATGAGATATCGCACCGCAATATGATCCCTGTACACAATCAACTTAGAGCAAATAAGATAGGACCTAAACTTATCAAAGGCAAAGATAACCGCTAGCATTTCCTTCTCCGTTGTTGTATAGTTCTTTTGAGCTTCTTCAAGAGTCCTGCTTGCATATTAGATGACACATGATTTTCCTTCTTTCCTTTGTCCAAGCACGACACCCACTGCAAAATCAATCGCATCGCACATTAGCTCAAAAGGCATGCTCCAATCTGGAGCTTGCACAACGGGAGAGGAAATGAAAGCTTCCTTGAGCTTACAAAATGCTTCAAGGAAAGACTCATTGAAGTTAAATGCAACATCCTTTTTGAGTAATTCGGTCAAAGGTTTGGCGATTGATGAAAAATCTTTGATAAATCTCCGGTAGAAACATGCATGCCCAAGAAAAGCTCGTACTTTCAAGATAGAAGTAGGTGGGGGCAATTTCTCAATCACCAAAACTTTGTCCAGAACCTCAATGCCATTTTTTGAAACATTATGGCTGAGGACAATGCTCTCCTCGACCATGAAATGACATTTTTCCCAATTCAAAACCAAACTCGTCTCTTGACACCTTTTCAAAACTTTTTCAAGGTTAAAAAGACAAGTGTCAAAAGACGAGCCACCAACACTAAAATCATCCATGAAATCTTCAATTTCCTTTTCAAGCATCTCGGAGAAAATGGAGACCATGCATCTTTGAAAGGTAAAAGGAGCATTGCATAAACCAAATGACATTCTTCGGTATGAAAATGTCCCATATGGACATGTGAAAGTAGTTTTCTCATGATCGCTTGGATGGATAGGGATTTGGAAGAATCCGGAATACCCATCTAAGAAACAAAAGAAAGCATGGTGAGTGAGCCTCTCAAGCATTTGGTCCATGAATGGGAGAGGGAAATGATCTTTCTTGGTGTTTTTGTTCAACCTCCTATAATCAATACACATTCTCCACCCGGTCACCGCCTGGATGGATATTTCCTCTCCTCCTTCATCCTTGATTATGGTCATCCCACCCTTTTTTGGAACTACATAAACCGGGCTAACCCACTTTCTATCGGTGATAGCATAAATGATGTCCGCCTCACGTAGTTTCAAAATCTCTTTCTTCACAACCTCTTGGAGGTTGGGGTTCAACCTCCTTTGAGGTTTAATGGAGGTGGAATGATCATCTTATTGATGAATACGATGCATGCATAAAGAAGGGCTAATACCTTTGATATCATCAATGCTATACCCTATCACATCCTTATGTTTTCTCAAAACATCAAGTAGTTTTTCCAAATTAAGACCATCTAGGGTAGCATTGACAATAATAGGGTATTTTCCCTCTTTATCAAGATAAGCATATTTCAAAGAAGGTGAAGGGTCTTGAGTTCTACCTTGGGAGGATGCTTAGAACTCTCCTCCAATTTTTCCTCCTTGGACGCAAGCTCGTTCTCAACTTGTTGTTCAACATCCTCCTTTGAGGATTCCTCCATTGCCATAACAAACTCTTTAGCCTCTTTAGAGTGGAACTCTTCTTTTCATGTTAGAGCTTCTATCATTGGATCTTGAGTCCTCATCATGACCCTCCCCAAGAGATCTAGCTCCTCATTCACAACATCAACTCTATAGCATTTTTCAACCATGGGGGTCTTGACCAACATAGAAAACTCAAAGACAATCTTCTCATCGGCCACCTCACATGTGATGGTGTTGTTCTTGCAATTGATGACCGCCCCCAAAGTTTTAACAGCTTCAGGTCCCAAAATCAAAGGAATGTTAACATCTTCCTCCATATCCATCACTAGAAAGTCACAAGGCACGTAGATGTGTCCCACTTGAATTGGAACATCCTCAAGCTCTCCACAAGGTAATTTCACCGATCGATCGGCTAATTGAATTGTCTTTTTTATAGGGATCATCTCTATATTGAGTTTTTGAGAAATGGATAAAGGGATTAAACTAACACTTGCTCCACGATCGGCTAAGGCGCGCCTAGCTTCCATGTTCCCAATTTTCACTGGCAAAGTGAAACTTCCCGGGTCTTTTTCCTTCTTGGGCATCTTATGTTGGACAAGAGCACTCACTTGATGTGGAATGTGATAAGCTCATCATTGAGCTTCCTCTTGTTGGTGAGAATATCTTTGAGGAACTTGGAGTAAGATGGCATTTGTGTCACAACTTCAAGGAAAGGGAAGTTGATGTGCAAATTCTTCATCACACTAAGGAATATTGCAAACTTGTTGTTCAATGTCCTCTCCGCAAGCTGACCGCGAAAAGGAATCGGTCCATAAAGGTTCCTAGCCTCACCAGGAATTGAAGTTGTCTTCTCATTGTCAAGCTTCTTCTTCTCCGAACCTCCTTCTATCTCGTCAACTTTTTCTTTTTCACCTCCCTTGTTTTCATTCACATTCTCCTCTCCTCCTTTCTTTTCCTCACTATCCCCCTAATTTGGCCCTTCATAGGAAGTTCCCGACCTCAATGTGATCGCCTTGCATGTATCGGGTTTTGAGTTGTGAGATGGGTTAGGTTGTGGTTGTTAGGGTAGAGTAGATGGTGAATTAAAAAGAGTTCTCTCAGCCAATTGAGCTAGTTGTGAATCAACCATCTTGTTGTGAGCTCTTATCTCTTGCATTTGTTGCCCTAAAGATTGCATTTGCGCATGCATGGCTTGAAGGAGTTGAGTTTGTGTTATCTCCGCTTGAGGTGATTGTTCTTGATTTCTTTGAGGTGCTTGGGTTTGATTGTTGTATGAGTTGTTCCTTGGATAGCTTCCTCTTGGGTTTTGGGATTGAGATGGATGTGGATTTTAATTTTGAGGGTTGGAGTTGTAGGAAGTTTGATCTTGTTGGTTCCATTGTTGAGGTTGAGATGCAAACCCGGGTGGTGGTTGTCTCCAAGCTACTCCACCGCCGCTTCCTCTAAATCCCTCTTGCCTTGTGTTGTATGCCGCTACATGCTCGGGGCTCAAACCTTCACAATAAGATATATCATGGTTCGTTCCTCCACAATTTTGACAAGAGAAAGAGTTAACTTGAGAGGAGCTTGCTCCACCGCTTGAACTTGCACTCACACTCAGTGTTCAACTTGGAAAGCCCTTTTGTTAGTTGATCAATTTGATGTTGCAATTGATCAACTTTCTCCAATTCGTAAATACCACCTTTCTTTGGAGCATTTCTTCTTCGGCCCCCCAAAAGTAATTCTTTGCTACCTCTTTTATTGTGGATTCAACTTGATTTTGAGGGATTTTCATTAATTCACCACCCACCCCCGCATCCAAATTGGCTATTGACATGGGATCCAATCCATCGTAGAAAAACCACATGAGCAACCCTTGATTGTACTCATGGTGGGGACACGCTTGCACAAACTCTTTGAATCTCTCCCAAGCTTCACCAAGACATTCATCGACTTCTTGCTCAAATGATGCAATTTTCCTTCTCATTTCGGCGGTCTTCTCCTCGTAGATAAATCGCTTCAAGAACGCCTTTACCACCTCCCTCCATGTTGTGAGAGTGTTAGGCTTTACTTGCTTTAGCCATTTCTTTGCTCGTCCGGTAAGAGATTGCCGGAAAAGGTGCATACGAATGTAGTATGGGCTCACTTCATTGGTTTGCATCATCGCGCACAACTCAAGGAATTGGTCCAAATGTTCAATAGGGTCCTTACATGAACTTCCGGAAAATTGCTCCGATTGGACCATTCTAGTGTATTGAGGATGGATTGAAAAGTTGGTTTCCGTGACGGGTACCAAAATCCCTCCCGTGAGCTCATAATCCTCCGGATTTTAGAACTCACAAAACAAAACATCATCATCTTGTCCCACCATTGATCCGCTTTGTGAACTTGAAGAGTAAGTATCACTCTCACTATCAATTATATCACCAAAACCTCTTCCCTCGTCTTGGCAAAGCCTACGGACTTGAGACCTCCTAAGAATTCACCAAAGCTAAGCAAACAATTAGCAATGACAAGGATGATAAAACAAAAGAAACAAAAAGAAAATCAAGTAAAATGACTCTAACAAAAGCAATAGTAGACGCTAAAAAAGCCGCTTCCCCGGCAACGGCGCTAAAATTTGATCGAGGGTTAAATAGGTCGTTAAGCTACTACCCTAATCAAATTAATCATTTATAATACCTAAACTTAAACCTAACTAGTTAGTGGCAAGTAAAGGGTCGAACCACTACCGAAGCACACTAATTCAACATCAATATTCACTAATGCAAGAGTAAAAAGGGGATTGTTTTGCCGGTTTTTTGAGTAAAGAACACTAAAACTACAAATAAGAAAGTAAATGATGATTAAAATCAAGGGAAAATGACGCTAGGGATACGGGGGTGTCAAATATGATTAGAAAGAGGGGAATAATAATGATTATCATGAAACACACGCCAAAGAACACAAAATTCTACCTAAACAATTCATTCTCATGCAATAGTCTAGGCAAATCAATGAAAGAGGTCTACACTAATAAGGATCATTCTCATGCATCATATTAGTTACAATCAAAT